CGCAGCATGATGGATGTCTACATTACTCATGGGAATGCTGTATTGTCAGTGATAGTGCTTTAAGGAACATCAAAGCAACAAATAACTTGGTCAGAGAGTTTAATTTAGTACACTATATTTTTTAATGATTCAACGCCTGTTTGGAATATTATTTACATACTGCTATGACTTTTGTTTTTACGGCAAAAAAATCATGTAGCGATTTAGCTTAAAGCATTAATGTATTTAACCGATAATGAAGTATTTTAATTCATAGCATTAAATTTATCTATCATATGTACCATAATAATATTTTTACTTTTGTAAGTAATGACGTGAGCCGCTGGGGCCAAGGGTCGATATAATTTATTTATCTTTATTTTCTGCCCGATAGTTTGAGTGGACCAAAACATGCCCTGCAAGAGGCCACATCTACCAATTACGCATGTACATTTGACGACATTTATTAATTCAAGTTCACAATTAAAGATTTAAACGAAGTACAACTGGGAACTCATCTTACAAATTCGTAATTTTTACGATTATTGTTATAACTTTGTCCTTCTGGTTAGTGGGGCTTGAATGAATTTGTTCATAATCGCATTTTATTCATTACTTAGCTGTAAAACCCACGATTCTCTCATGTATTAAAAAAAACTCGAGCATTCCTGGCTTTTGGGGCTCTTGTAATGCTAACGTACAAATTAATGCTAACTTACGTATTAATGTAATGCTAACGTACGTAAAGTAACTCAGTGACACTGAGTACAACTCCACAGAATAATCAAATTCTTTTATTGTATTCTTGAAGTGAGCTGACCATTCAGGCGCTATAAAGAAATCATAAGTCACTTGATCATTGGGTGTTGTTCACTTTTCTTCACTATGAACATCAGCCACCACTTCCTGTTACTTGTGCAGCAGGAAAGTGTGAACAGGGTTGTGAGAATATTGCGAGGTTCGTGAATACCAAACATCACTATAATCGAAACAATTTTTAGTAACATCACTGTATTTCGACCGCAATTCATCGCTACCCTAACAAAATTTAGAGTCACCCCAGCTTCTGATTTGGGGTACCAGAAGCTGGGGCGACTCTAAATTTTGATAGGGTATGAGGTTCTGCTACCACTTCCTGTCAGTTATGCAGGAAATGGTGAACATGGTTGTGAGAATATTCGAGGCTCGTGAATACCAAACAGCACTACCATATTGCGAGGTTCGTGAATACCAAACATCACTACAATCGAAACAATGTCTATTAACATCACTGTGTTTCGCCTAATCTTCATCGTTATGAAGTTCTGCTACCACTTACTGTCAGTTATGCAGGAAATGGTGAACAGGATTATGAGAATATTCGAGGCTCGTGAATACCAAACAGCACTACAATCTAAACAATTTTTAGTAACATCACTGTATTTCGTCCGCAATTCATCGCTACCAAGTTCTGCTACCACTTCCTGTCAGTTGTACAGGGAATAGTAAACATGGTTGTGAAGAAGGGTCGGAACTGTCAGTCTGTGTCGTGATGCAACCAGAAGCAGCAGCAACAGCAGATCGTTAAGCCTAATTAGACGTCCAACACGACAGCAGCCAGGCTTGCCCGCGTCTAATGTAAATTTTAGTCTTTGTGTCTCCTCATGCAATTCTTGCAAAGACATTATGTGGGTGAGGAATTTGATGGTTGATTATTAGATGTTTCTATTTTACTAAACGATAAATGCTTCAATTTAATATTTGTTACAATATAAAATAATTTGATGGTTGATTATTGGATGTTTTCATTTTACTAAACGATAAATGCTTCAATTTAGTATCTGTTAAATTAGAAAATAATTTGATGGTTGATTATTAGATATTTTAATTTTACTAAATGATAAATGCTTCAATTTAATATTTGTTACATTAGAAAATAATTTGATGGTTGTTTATTAATTGTTTTCATTTTACTAAACGATAAATGGTTCAATTTAATATTTGTTATATTAGAAAATTATTTAATGGTTGATTATTAGATGTTTCCATTTTAGTAAACGATAAATGCTTCAATTTAATATTTTTTACATTAGAAAATAATTTAATGGTTGATTATTAGATGTTTTCATTTTACTAAACGATAAATGCTTTAATTTATTATTTGTTACATTAGAAAATAATTTGATGGTTGATTATTAGATGTTTCCATTTTACTAAACGATAAATGCTTCAATTTAATATTTGTTACATTAGAAAATAATTTTATGGTTGTTTATTAGGAGATATTTCCGTTTTTGCTGTACGAAAGTTTGTACTTAATATTTATTAGTTTAAATCCTGTGCAAAAGGGTTTAATTTTCTCAAAATTATGTTCATATGCTTCATTAGGTATTTAGATTCAAATATTTATTCAGCGTGAAGTAATTGATAAGAAACGTCCCATATTGGAAAATATATTATTTTTTACGGCTATATTTATTACAGTAATCTGACACTGACCGGCGTTTGCAGAGTCTTATAGCTTTTGCAAATAAATTTTCGCTATTTATTGCTAATCAATAACACGATTAATGTCAGGCTGAGCCTGTAATGACATTCGCGCTCAGTTTCTCTAATGAATATCAAACAATACAATAGTGATTATTGACTCGAAGGTCAATATTTATAGCACGTATAAGGTTCTCCAGCCCTGGCCCAGTCACAGCGCGCGACGAGTGTCAAGCCGCGGAGAAAATGTAGCACCAGGCCACCTGGGAGGCTCTTTGGTAATTAAAGACGCGAAAGAAAACCTTCTATAGAGCAAGTCTGATTACAAATGTGTATATATTTTGTTATTCAACATGTATCTTTTGTTGTTGTTCTTGACATCACAACTGTAACGGTACATTAAGCTGGGAGATCCCTTCATTACCCATCCAAAAATTTTGATGCTAATTTCACAAAATCTGTAATGCCGAGCTACTCTTAGAATTTGAGTATTGTTATCTTGTAGGATAGTTACCTACGTTAGTTCAGGCCCTAATCATTAAATTTCCATCGTAACATTCCAAACACTGAAAAGCTTGCTAGTTCACACCTTCGCCTACCAATATTACTCAGAAATTTCACTCGGAACGAGAAAAAAGGAAACATTTCGATATCGAAAGCGGATTTTTCGCGGACGGGCCAGGGTGGAAAGATCTCATTGTTTGCCCTCACGAAATGGAATCTTCCGCACACAGCCTATCCGTCCCAGTCCAAGACTCGAGTCGGTGCAATTTATCGGCATCCGTACAGGAACCACAGACGAGATAAATGAGCATGCTTGTTTACGACAATAGTGCTATCTTTACTTACGACAACATTGCGATCTTTACTTACGACAACATTGCTATCTTTACTTACAGCAATAGTGCTATCTTTACTTACGACAACATCACTATGTTTGCTTACGACAACATTGCTATCTTTACTTACGACAACATCACTATGTTTGCTTACGACAACATTGCTGTCTTCATTACGACAACATCACTATGTTTGCTTACGACAACATTACTATGTTTTCTCACGTCAACAGCACCATGATTGCTTACGACAGCATCACTATGTTTGCTTACTACAACATCACTATGTTTACTTACGACAACATCACTATGTTTACTTACGACAACATCACTATGTTTACTTACGACAAGATCACTATGTTTACTTACGACAACATCACTATGTTTGCTTACGACAGCATCACTATGTTTGCTTACGACAACATCACTATGTTTGCTTACGACAACATCACAATATTTTCTCACAACATCACTATGTTTGCTTACGACATCACTATGGCACGTGAGTTAGGCGCTCGATTCTCTTCAACCTGACTGAGACGTGCAAGCACGTTTACTGCCTGTGGCATAACTGGAATTAAATATTACTATCGATTTTTAAGAATAATTTTAAATTTTGGTGAAATGTTTAAAAAGTTTGAGCTGGTTTGTACAACACCAACAGAATGAGATTTCGTGTACTCGGACCCACAGAACCGTTAGTTAGTTGTAGAAGAGTTTGTTTTGTGAAATTAATGGTAATGTAACTCAAATAAAATGTTTCCAAAATTCGTTTCTTATACAAAATTCAAAATTTGTTTCAAAATTAGTTTTTTCTTATATCAGCTTGACGGTTTGGCTACACGCCTTTATAATTCTCCACAAATTTGTATATTGTTTGAGATCAATGTCGAAACAAGTTTTTCAGGGATCTTATGCAATCTAATTCAAAATCATTTTTCTTTGTTATAACATGAGAACCTTGATTCTGACTTTTGTTTAAAAGCTTGTTGGTAAATGGGAAATTACCAGTTTTTCATCCTCATATATTCGGCGCAAATAATAATTTATTATTTGCACCCAATAAAAGTAAAATCAGATCCTCAAATAAGAGGCCGTATCGGTCAAGTTATGGAAGATATATTCACATTTTCAACGTCCGTTGATCGATTTTCTTGCGCGGTAAACAAAGTACGTCATCATGTCAATACCGAGACTTACTGATAACCTTCTCCTCTCCAACTTGGCGAACATCTTAACTCGTGTTGAAAGGTCAAAGGCCAGAATTATACATAAGTTTTTGTATTTGAGCATGAATACTATATCTATGCACATAAGAATAAACCATAAACCCTAGTATATTTTGCTAAAGCTATTATATACTGATTTAATAGTGATTATTACTGAATATATCATTTTAACCAAAAAGGGTTTTCAAACCAGAGGCACAAGATAATGAGATTTCAGTCAAACTTAAAAATGATAAAATAATTACATGGGACGTAACAACAGATTTAACAGCTGGGACATAAAAACTGCTTAGATGAGGTTTTCCATATTACGTGTTATATTATATTATTAATTTATTGTTTATTATTCATGGCACTAGTATTCAATATGTGTAGGAGTTAAAAAATAACAAATTACTTTCGTTTCCAAAAAATTATTTACAGGATGAAGCTAGCGACTAACCAGTACAAATAACAGGGAAATAAATCCTTCTACTAAACTACTCACCTTTTGGAACTCTCCTCGGTACGACTGAGGCGGAAGAGAAACTGAAAGCAGCGGTGGTGAAGAGCATCAGCAGCAACAGCCTCGAATTCCAACATTTGCTGTTAGCGGCACAAGGGCGAGCCGAAATGGAAATATTTTGAACGGTATCGGTCGATGCTCGAAGCTTCCCTGTTATTTCGGCGAATCCCTGGACATTTGGGGGAAGTTTTGAACTCCCAATTCTATTTGAAGTTTGTAAACACTTGCGATGGCTATCAGTCTCAATATTTGACAGGAAGTTTTTAATTTCTTCGATTTTGGTTGGTATTATCAAACACCCTTCATTCAATTTTTTTCCAAGAAAACTTGACTTGCGTGACTGAAGATATTCTTGCTTGTTTAGACTGTATTTGCAACACCAATGACGCATGGAACTTGGTTCTTTCGACCGTATGGCTCTATTTTTGTTTCCAGGTATATTTTCACACATGATAGAATAAATTGAAAATCGGCATATGACAACACTCAAAAGTTTCATGAAATACTTTTCAATCGTAACCCAGAAATAGAGCATGGGGATTTTCTCTTTATCAAGTATCCATCTCCAACGCTCCACTACCGAATATTCGATAGGCAAACATTGTGAGAGTCCGGTTAGTACACATTTCAAGTACCCTACAACTCTCAGAAAATACACTGAGAGCCAAACGAGCACGTTCCGGAAAATCTTCGAATTCTCCCGCCCAAATTTACGCACACTTTTATGCTCATCCGGCCCAAAATTGGCGGTGGGTTCAGCCATTGGTGATGAGTTGTTGTGTTCTCGGCAGCGATTACGCCGTCCATTTAGAGCTGTGCGCCATTGCCTAATGTGATATTTCAGGCTGTGTCGTCAGAACTGTTGACATCAGGGTTGACGATAGGCGCTTGATGTGAGCTCATACCTTGCATGGCGGCTAAGCTACAGTGTTCAAATTTGGTACCTAAGTAGAATTGCCGCAGCAGATTTTGCAAGCTTTCTGAAAAAGAGACAAATTGACAAATTAGTCATAAACACCGTAAGAATAAAAAGTTTTGGAATTGGATGTACAGCCTTCATGAAATTTAAGTGACTAAAATAAATTTGTTGTTGAGCTGATTATCCATAAAATAAAAAACTTTTTGTCATTAGGAATCTAATTCGTGAGCTCAGAAAACTTAATGTGTTATTAATTGTCCAAAATACCTTTTGCTTTACAAGATTGATCGAGAACATGCAAAAAGTATGTTTGTTATGAAACAAAGAATAATACATGTCGAGAAACGAACTAGCGGATTTTTTACGAATAAAATGTGGCGAATATTTTTTGTGATGTTGACGACTTTAATTGTTTTCAGTTGGATCTGTTAAAAATAACATTAAGTTAAATATCTGTTGAATAGTTTAATTACAGTTCCTCTTTTTTATTTCGTGTCTTGTAACAAGATTCCGAACTAACCAAAATTTAAATGCATTTTCCCTGTTTGCTAAAGCTAGGCTCAGAGAAGCCCATCGGGACTATAAAGCCTACCGTAAAGAGTGACTGAAATCGAAAAACTTTTCTCAGCCCTGCTACAACTTGAAAAATATACAAACTATTCAAGGCTATGGTAGTTTCGCAGAAATTTCGGTAACGAGTTTAAGTGTTGAGCAGAAATGGATAGGAGTTAAAATTCGAAAATTGTATTTAAAAAATGCTATAGACAGCAAATAAATATCAGGTGCATCGGAATTGAAGTCATTCTGCTCGCCGTAGCCAAGCGGACGGCTTATTGAAAAACTTCACCTAAGTTTTTGTCGTCGGTGCGACAAACTTGTCACTTTGAATGGAATTGAAGTACAATACGTTTTAGTAATATGAGATTTATGAAAAAAGCGTGACCGCAAGCCTATATGCTTTTGACAACGACACATTAATTCATCCTCTGAATATGCAATGGAATAGGTATTATTTATTACTCCAGGACTCTTATTTCGAAGGTATGACTAATCAACGATTAAAACAACCTTGTGAACTGTCGCATGGGTGGAATTCCCGCTTTTCTAATAAAAAGAGATGATAATTCTACTTAGTCATGTAAATAAAACAGGTGAAATACTAATTAAAATAACTGATTCAATTCGCATATCGTATTTTAAACTTCGATTGGCTTATGTATTTAATCAAATGCATTTCATCTTGACTTTATTCGCCGCCTTTAATGAACTAAAAATTAAACGATGTTCACAAGCCATGTTGAAAGCGTCTTGTCATCATATCCAAAACGTAAAACATGACGTAACATATCCAAATTATTATGAACGCGTATTTTACAATTCGTGTTTTCGTGGCCGGTTGTAATCGAAAAACTGTTATTGATGTCAAAAGGTCGGCATAAAGATGTTTTCCACACTGCAACATTTCGAGAGATTTTTTCTTTGCTAGTTACATGTTTAACTTTGTTGAGCTCCATAGAAGTTACAAGTGGACAAATGGGAGTAATTTGAGTCCTTTGAGGCATTCTCCAAGGGCCATTTGGAAAATTAGCTTTAACCTGAAAGACAAGTGCTCCTGGCTCCCATTATAAGTAAACACTGGACTTTTTAAACTTGAAGTACATACGTGTTCTTTTTTACTTGTTCGAGGATAGTATTTGACAAAATAATTTTTTGAACTTGGTTTAGTACCTTCAAGAGTAATAATAATGTTTTTAGGCCCTGAAATATTATTTTTCGTCCGCAGGACCCAGCAGATCATTAAGGTCTACTCCTAGCAGATCGATGCAGCGAGCAAATTGTTGTGTGTCATAGAACAAAGGCAGCAGCAATACTGCTTTGTGAGCGCTCCACGCACCCGTTGTTCTCCGGTTGAAGTGGTAAATAATTAGTATCTCGGATTGCTGTCTCTCCGATTCCTCAATATTGATGACCTACCTAGTGTATTGTGAGGGCCATGCGCATCCAATAACAATTTAATTAGTCATATGATTGCTGCTGTGTGTTATCGAAATAATAAATAAATTTGAGCAAATACAGCAATTGGCGACTTTTGACACAAATTTCTTGCGAGAAATTTGTTATTTCTAAATGGAAGATGGACGCGAATGTTCTTCCATATCAGATTATATGTTATGAGGGCCGCCTTTTCTTTGGTGAATGTTTATCCACGTCCAATCCTCATTTAGTAATTCCCGTAACTGCTGCTACTTAGGAATTAGATTCCGTAGCACCGTCTAATTTTAGGGCGTACGTTCACGGTTAACCGTGTATTATTATTAAGTACCCGGTGCTCTCATTAGAACAATGCATGTCTTCAGTTCAGACTTGCGTGATAGGTTATCATTACCGGGTTCTTGTACTAGTGTTGAAGGTTATAGCGTAGGTTAAGCATACTTTTTACCCCTCCTTGAAAACGCACCTCGAAAGTGTCGAAGCCTTTCTTGCAGCAAACTTTTGCAGTTACGCTTAAAGTTTCTACTGCTTAAGTATATTTTTATCGCCCAGAGATTACCAGTGTAATTTAATGCTCCGTTAGCCTAACTCTATATGTAATTCAATTTTGGTCATCTAGTCGCTTTTTGCTTGCTTCTTAAACCTCATATTTGAATACATATGACTCAATATAGCAAGTATCATTACTACTATTCTTTATACAAGTGAATACAAGACTAGTTTTCTTGCTCGATCTTCACTCAATCGAATTATGTTCCATACTGGCGAGAGCAAATCGAAAAGCAGGTTTCCAAACGATATTTTAAATAAACATTATTAAGTAAATGAAGATTGAAAAATACATAAAACTGAGATTTTGAAGTGACATTTATAAAACATATTGTATAATTGAAAGAATTAAAAATTTCAAATCAAAAATAATATAAACATCCTGACAAAATCCGGTAGCTGGCTGGAGTTGATAGCTTCAGCTATCGACAGTTATGCAGCGTCTGGATACCGCATGCGTGTTACTGAATTACTCTACCAATTAGCATACATAAACTCCCATGCAAGTAGTGTCTGGCTATTCAGCTGGTTCCATTACCTAGAACATATTTCTTTTTATATTATTTCCGAATCAAGTTCTTTCGAGACCCATCACTAAACTGAAAAAATTCGAATTTTTTCGCACTAATTTTATTAATACTACAAAGGAGCTGAGAGTTTAATTCTTTATCATACCACTCGTTTCATAAATTTTTATCGCTAACTCAAATGTTAAGCGTGAAATCTTGCAATAATTAATTCTAAGGTATACAGTGAAGCTATCATCGATGAAATCGATCTCGCCCGCCGCGATTAGAGATTAGAAGTTGAAGCAGGGTAAGAAAGACCGACCACGTATTAGGCTACTTATCCATCGATCCGTTGACAACTTCTTCAGATTCTATCAATAATTCGTGGGCTGATATTGTCCTCATACGAACTTTTTAGCAAGGCAAGGGACGAGGTAAAAATGTAGCAAGCGATTGCTCACGAGATGTTGGTGCACCTAAAAACTTTATTAACGTTAAATAATCAGAGTTGAAAAATTGTTGCTACTAATGCTCAGAGTATACAGAGTGGCAATAATTTCTTGTTTGTTTGTTCTTGTTTGTTTCTGTTGTTCTTGTTTGTTTGTTGTTGTTCTTGTTCTTGTTTGTTTCGACGTCTTTTCGTATAGTTTGTACAATTTATAGGCTTCAGGTGAGTAGGTGTACGATGTAATTCTTAATTCGTGTCATTTGAAAATTGTTATGATGTTATCTACTTATGTTATCTACTTCAGAAATTAATAAGTATAGACGTTGAGTGTGCTATCGACTTACCTACTGTGACGCCATCTTTATAAACTTATATGATGTCGCCTGCAACCATCAACCAAATAAATATATGGCACAGAATGGGCTCCATAAATCAGTGGCTTGTGTTCTCACCACAGTTTTTTTACACATCTAGATACAAATTTACTGCATTGTGGAAACGTGTTAAAATTGCTTATATTTATTTATAAAGAATTTTACTTTTCTTTAAATGTTACGGAGAGCGAATATTTAGAAACATCGTGTGTTATTGGAGTTGAAAACGAAATAATGGATTAATTATGCAGCAACGTAATAGTAAATTACGCAAAGCACTGTTTTTTTAGTTTTATAGTATCGTGCATTTTGAAGTAGAGAACAAAATATCGGAATCGCAATAAAGTGTCCGGCTTGAGATAATATTTCCCATTGTATGACATAGATAGAATATTAGGCCACCTAACATCATTCATCAAATATTGAGACCAACTATTCATAGCACATGATCAATGTCAATCAGGTACCGGGAAAACGTTTTCTTCCTTTGATGGCAAACAACGACACATTCGCTGCTTTCAACAACGTTGATCCAATTAAGTGAGTTCTAAGGCCGCTGCTCTGAGTCCCTTTGATTCTACAATGTTTGTACTGAACGCGTTCATGAATGACCAAATGCATCGGCCTAGCAAAGTTCCTGTTTAATAGCACTAGGATTTATGAATCTTATCAATGTTTATGAGATCCAAAAACTCAGAAATAGATTGAACTTAATTACTTCTCAGTGCAAATCACTAATTAGAATTTGAATTTCAAGATGAATAGCCTTCCAGATCTTTGCCTGCCTTTTTAATTGACCATCTCTGTTTGAAGTGAGAGAAGTACGGATACATTGTTCAAATTTTAACAGGTTGTTCAACTGGAAATTTCATTGGTATAATTGTATTGTTGAACATACATTCGGGGCAGGACGGCCGAGTGTTTGAAGTATTTGAGGGGATATTTACAAGGTTAAGAGAGAATAAATAAGCGCAAGTATTTCAGAGTTGTATTTTTCTTTCAAATTATAATATAAAATTACATGAATTGGTTTTTGGCCCAAATTTGTACTTATCGACAAAGGAAAACTAGTTTGGCTAAATTTGTGACATAAATATGTGATTGAAAAGTTATAAATACTACTACCATGGTTTAATTTGAGTGAAGTTGTATGCAAGCTACAGAACATC